ATTAGAAATAAAATTGATAATTTTTTGTAGATAAAAATCTTATTTTTATTAATTTAATTAATAGAATATAATGGTAAAATTATAATTTTATTTAATACAAAAATAAAATATCATTAATATTTTCATCCCAAATTATCTAATATTAAAAAAGTATAAAAATATTTCACTTATTTATATAATAATAGAGCTATTTTGCAAGCTTGTAAGCCGAGCCTTGTTGGGCTTGAGAACAATTGTCATGTTGAACCCAAATTTAAGATCGAGCTCGACTCACTTGTTAATCAACTCGAGCCAAGCTAAGCTCGATTCAACCTGAGTTTGAGTAACTCCTCCAACTTTCCTTTGTTGCCCTTCAACAGTTCAACACTTCAAGTTCGTGTACATTAGGGAAATCTCTAAAGTAACTGTGGACCTTACGATTATTTTGCAATTAAGCTCTCCAAGTTCGATTCTTATCTATTTGGCCCTTCAACATTCATCTGGCAAGAAAAGCTAACGTGCCTCTTATATGGTGATTTTTTTAATAAAAAAGATTAATAATTTCCATCAATTAATTATGAACCGGTTCCCTGAGATAATACTTGAATTAATTCCTGAGTAATGATCTGCAGGACGAATTTGCAGAATGATTTTGGAGGATGACAAGTGAAGCAGCCCCAACAGTAATTATCAATTTGACCTTGCTTTCACTTGTTGTCCCCAAAATCGTCTCGTAAATTTGTCCCACAGATCATTACTCTTAATTCCTAGGTTCGATACTTTAATTGTTTTACCGTTGGATAGTTAGTTTTTACGATGGAAAAATATTTTTTTATATTAATTTCTCGATATCTGTTAGATTCTAACTAATTTAAAATCGAGTCGTGTCGAACCTATTTAGGGTAAAAACTCTCTTAACACTTATTTCTCTAATAATAAGATTCAAACGTGAGATCTTATTTAAGTAAAACCAAACTCCTTCTATTCTGATTAACAAATCATTAATATAAGAAAAAATGTTAACAGTAAATCGGATGGCGTAAATAAAGCTTATTATTATTATTATTATTTTAAGAAAAAAACAATTAGAATTAGGTGATCTATTCATAACACACTTTAATAGAATTATTTTTAAATTTAAATTCAAAATGAAAAAAAAAAAAATTTAACTGCAAAGTTTAATGAATGAAATAATGAATGTTGGTGAATATATTGAATAAAAAAGTGTACCAATTATTTCCTTCTTCTAATATTAATAGTTTCTTTTTGAGACTTCATTCTACCTTATAAGCAATTATCCAATAGGATTCCTATTATTATCCAAGTTATTCACAGCAGACGGCACCAAACTCTCTCACAAAAGGAAAGGTAGAGAGAGAGAGAGATGAACCTATTCAGAACCAAGTCCAAATTGAATTGAAATAACAACATTAGCACTAACAAAATAGAATTAAGAGTCATAACTTCAATTCATAGTAGCTGAGGATTTGTGTCCACTTCCTTTTTAGTACAAGGATTTGTGTCTATTTCTTTTTGCTACAATAGATATAAATAGACACCATTAAAAGAACTAAAATATATTTATCATGGAAAAAGAAAATGCTAAAGAGATGAAATAGCTCACCATAGAAAAAGAAAAAAAAAAAAATCCTCTCATAGTTATGAAGATAACAGTCACAATCACTTTTGAAAATTGATATGATTCAGTAAACTTAACCATTTTGTTAATTATAAAAAATTTAACATCTTCAAATATATATTAGTAAATATATTCTTTTTAATAAAATAGTTATAAATACTAAATTAATATAAAAATTAATATGCATGATTTATATAAATAAAATTTTTAATTTAATATTTAATTTTTAAAAATATTAATTAAAAAATAAATTTTAAAACAAGTCCTCCACAAAAAAATTTTAACAGGATGACTTACCTACGCTATCCTCATTAATTAGAAACTGATTCACTGAATTAATATTTGAATTAATTCTCAAGTTTGATTGTTTTAGCAAGGGGCAGTTTGTTTTTATTTCAAAACCAATGGAATAATGCTACAGCAGGATGAATGGCAGTAACAGACTTTTGATGGTATGTTCGAAGGAGATGGGAGATAATTCCTCATATTACTAAAAAAATTGGTGACAAGGGAGAGAAAAAGCTTTTATCTTTTACTTTTAATTCCTTCAATTCTTTTTGTCCAAATGAAAGAAGGGGGTTCAATTCTTGTTGTCCAAATGAAAGAAGGGGGGCAGAGGAAAATTCACTCTCTTCCTCTTTATTTTCCCTCAAAACAAAACATACCCTAAAGATAAATTCAATCATTAATGTAATAAATAAGAATCTCAAAGAAAAGGAACATTAAAGTCATGAAGAAAATAAATGAATATTAATAAAATCATATGAAAAAACAAAGTAAATGGGATAAAAACAAGTGGCAAAAACCTACTTTAAGTCCCTCACCTTACCAAGTTTGAAGGTTTTAACTCTTTAGTTTATGCTAAGATACTTTTAACATTTTACCTTACTAGATTTATCGATATTAGCCCATCACTTATTAAAATAAAAGAAAATAACCTTCATTTTATACTGACTATTAACTCTGTTACCTGAAAGTAGATTTTTATCAACTAACAATCAACTAATAATCAGTTAATAGAATTAACGAAATATTATAAAATTAATTTTGTTAACTTTATTAGCTGAAAAAAGGTTTTTATAAGTTAACAATCAACTAATAGAGTTAATAGTTAACTAATAGAACTAATCAAATGTTACAAAGTGAGGACTATTTTATTCAATTTTAATAGATAAGAGGTTAAGAGTATCATAGTATAAGATGATGAGATTAAAACCTACAAATCTAATAAGGTAAAGAACTAAAAGTGTCATAAAATAATGTAAAAGGTTAAAACGGGTAAAACCTTCAAATTTGGTAAGGTGATGGACTAAAAGCAAGTTTTTGCCAAAAACAAGTCACCTCTATAAGCCAGCATGGCGCATAATTGTAGAAAAGCACTACAACCATAAGCCACCATGGTGCAGAATTATTGAGAATCTAGGAGCTCAGCCTTTGCTTTGAGGCGTTTGATTGTTACATTACTTCTTCGGTGAAAAAAAAAATTAACATCATTTAAATGCACTTGTGCTTATACTAGAAGAAAGAAAACAGAGAGAAAAACTCGAAAACTTGCCTTCAATTCACTATTAGATCCAACATTCAGGTACATTATTCATCTCTGCTAGCTCTACTAGCAAAAGAATTAAAATAAGACAAGACATGCCAAAGAAGCATTTTAAGATGTTAACCATCTGTATAAGCCCATACCATATTGAGCAAGGAATCTCACCAGCTGAGATGCTCTAGATGACCTCTGGATGTTAATAGGTTTGCAATTACATTACCCTATGCCAAGTCACTGGTAGCTCAATTGGCAAACAACGCTTAATTTTACTCAGAGAGGTCCTGATAAACCATCAACTTTCATCATGCAGAAATACTTGGTTGGAATATTAGCACCAGCCTTCGAACAAAGATCCACCACTGCTGGTGCATGTCCATAATAATCACGCCCTTCATCCAAAAGTAGTGCTGGATCCTGTGGTCGCCATCGCCACACAATCTTAGGAGGGACTAAGTCATCAACCTCTGCCTTTTTCCAGAAATGTGCACCACGCCAACTCTCATATTTAAATACTCCACAAAGGCGTGCTTTGTGGCCTGATGGGCCAACATGAACTTCAGAACAATATTTACAAACCTTTGCTGGATAGACCATTAACAACTTCTGAACCCCAAATCTAAGGGTCTCCCATGCCCTCAACGTTCCATTTGCAATCAAATTCAAATCATTGGGTGACAAAGACTCAATCTTATGAACATCGGTACCACCAAAGACACCATTAGTAATCAATGCACCACTATTCAAACTGTCTTCATGCATATAAGCCCCCGCCTGCCAGCATAGCTCAACAACAGCAGGAACCCGTTCAAAATCAAATCTTTGGTGGTGTTTAATTATACCTTGGAACTTGTTCTCCAGGTGATATGTTTCTACTGGGACAAGTATGTCATTCAAACCACCACTGATCCATTCATGAACGTGATTCTTAGTGCGGCGCCTGTAACCCCAACAAGTTTTAATTAAGTGACCTTTCTCACCAATATGCACTTCTGGACAGAACCTGCGTAGGTTATTTAAGTTACAAACACAAGTCAATTCCATTTGCAACTTTGCTTAAGCAGAAACTTAGAACTAAAGACACAAAGTGAAGTTAGATAAACTGCCTGTTGTTACAAGTTTACACTTCATTCTCTTTCTGCTTCTATTAAGAAATAGATTCATTCATACTTTTAGGACACTTGGGCACAATGAATATATCTACAACTTTAATTGTACATAAAGGTTAGAAGTTAGGATATATAGTTGAAAATGAATTTCAGCAAAAGCACATACCAACAAGTGTTTTCAATTTCACCATGTTCAAAAATTAACAAGCATCTCAACAGGCCAGTGTTACTTTTAGGATGTCTAGGCATTATGAATATATCTCCAACTTTTATTCTACATAAAGTTTAGAAATTAAAAATATATAGTTGACTATGAATTTCAGCACATACCAACAAGTGTTTTCAATTTCACCAAGTTCAAAAATTAACAAGCATCTCAACAGGCCAGGGTTAAGTTGTGCACAAAATCAATACTCCTGATTCTCAAAATTTTCCATGGTACCAGTACATGTTTCAACCTACAAGTACATTCTCATTATAGTAGATGAACAGGACTTACTTGCAGGCAGAAATTGGGAAGATTTTGAGAAGGGTGGAGATGCCTTGATAAAGGATAGCTCTGGCATTGAGGACCTCTTGCGCTACCGGAATCATTCTAGGAAGTGGATAGTCCTTAGCTCGATTTTCTATTCTCTTCAATATCATAGGCCTCAGCTTCTTGAGATCCACTTTTGAGCTGAAGTGTCTCCAGCATATTGTGTTTAGTGGATCCATTAGATTCATATCTTGGCACAGTTTCTTTCTCAGTGCCATTGCACTGTCCCTATTCCACAAAAAAAAAAAAAAAAAAAAAATTAGAAAATGATTTGAGGCCTGTCAATGGGTGTTGTATTAATCCTGTTCTCGGAGTAAAAATTCCACTTGCATTTATACAATAATAATAATAATACAAAAATATATTCTACAGGACAGACTGTATATTAAAAGTGCAGTCCACCTTATAAATATACTTCAATACCCTTAATAAAACTATTTCTTTTACTATTTCATTAAGGTTATGTTTTGGGAACATGTATTTGAAATATATGTATTTTATGTTGTTTGGATATATTAAAAATACTATACATTTAAAATTGAATTTTTCCTATTCAATTAAATCTTCTTCTAATCATTATTTAAATTTAATAAGATTAGTGTTAACAATTTTAGTCTTTCAAAGCATTATTTAAATTGTCTCAAGACAAACAAATTGAATTAAAAAAAAAAAAAAAAAAAAGAAGAAGAAGAAGAAGGAATAATGACCCCCACTAACCAATCTGTCTTCATGTTCATCATTTTCTGTTTATTTTTTCCATTGACATACAATTTTCAATTTCTGCAAGGATGGATTTATCATGGAAGAATTTCACTATGAAAAATGAAGGAGCAAAGTGGCATCTAGAATGATTATCAACCATGTCCATTAGCAAGGTAGGTTTTCAATAGTCAGTTCATGTGGATAATCAAATATTTACAGCTTTGTAGAAAGAAAGTCATCATGATATCTGGTACCCTCTTCAATTAGAACATTAGAACTGGTCAAAAATTTGGCATGGCAAGAAAGAAAGAGCTTCCTCTATTCAAACATCTTTGCATAACAACTAATGTTTTGGCATTCCCTCTAGAGGAGGTAAAGGACAATTTACAATTAAATTGCCTTTCACGGCCCCTCTAAATATTGCCTACAAGGTTAAAGAACAAGGTCAACTTAGAGCAATGACATTAAAACATATCACTCAGACACACAAAAAGGTTACCAAATAACAATTTGCCATAAGTTGAACTCAACCACCTGTTATTGCCATGAATTGAACTTACTATAAAATCTTTAGAATCTAGTCCCAACCTCAAGAATAAGAGAAAAACTCAATAGACTAACATAAATCAACCTCAATTATAAGACTAAAAGGTAAATAGTTTATAGAATAATCCTGATTGTGTCACTGATATATTTTACATTGTGGTTTTTTTGCATTATTTTTTTCTGCCTTTTCATTTGTATAGTCTCTATGATTGTTAAGCAATCACAAAAATGCCTGGACCAAGGGAAACTAAATTTGTTTGTAATTTATGCAGAGCAAGGGAAGGATCTAGATGAGTTTTTCCAGTCAACTGCTGGTATGTAGTTTTATTCCTTCCTATAACTCCTCTCCATAAATTTTCCATTGTTTACTCATGGCTAATTTGTCACAGAAAAAAGCTGAAACAACAGAAACCAAAGAAACCATGTTACACAAAGAAAAGGGGTAATTATAACGGATAAACCATTTTACAATGAGATTATCCAAAAAAGCCTCATGCTGAAACCATTTATTTTTGCAGTAAATATCCTTAATGAATAATTCATGATTTAAAGATTTCTAGCACAAACAATTCAAAGGCTTAATGTAATATGCTTGATTTAAAGTTTTAAAATAGTCCATTTATGTATACCATATCAGTTCTGTAGAAGAGTTCCTAGCAAAATACTCATTTTTGAACTATATATATCCTTTTTTAGCATTTCTGTTCCTATGCTTCATTTTCGTATCTTGATTCACTAATCGGCATCTACTTACCCCACTCCCTCTGTTTTTTAAATAATTAGAACAAATTCTCAAAATATGGAGGATATTCTCAAATTCTACATATTTTCGAGTATTTGCAAAAGAAGGTGCAGCAATTGAGAGCAGTCATCACCTCAGAGGACAAGATTTTTCACAAGCTCAAGCACGGGACTAGAAATGGGGCTTTTATCAGCAGAATGAAACTGCAGAAAGCTCAAAACTTTGACACTATAATCTACACTAATATGTAATCTACTAAAAATGGGGTTAATTTAGAAGCAAATTATACCAAAAAAAAAAAATTGCAAGGGAAAACAAAATACCAAGAACAACAAATCAATAGAAGGCAAACTGAAGAAGGAAAACCCAATGAAAAGATCAGGGCTTAGAACCTGCTGTCGAGAGATGATGAAACTCAGGGGCAGATGCGCGTCGCGGGGTGGTTTGAGTGGCCGACGATAAGAAGGTGAGAGAGCAGCGGCAGAGTCGACGATGACCGGAAGTCATGGCGGAGGCTTCATGGTGCAGAGTAAATTCACTTGAAATTGAAATTCATGGGGTGAAATTATGTGTTTAAGTATGAATTTAAAGTACAACAATATTATCTCTTCCAAAATTATTGAAAAATATATGTATTTTATTTAAATTTAATTATATTTTATTTCTGTAAAAATAATAGTGATATTAAATTTAGGATGTTAAAATTTAAATATATTTTATTAAAATCATGTTCACAAAACAGACCATAAAGATATATAAATAAAGTCTCCATTTAGCCCTTTATGAGACTCGTTTAATTCAGATTTTAGAAGTAAAAAATTAGATCACCAATTAATCAAAGAAGGTAACACAATTTATTTTTTAATAAAAAACTCAATTTTTTCCAAAAAAATACAATTTCTTTAAATCCATGTTAAATTTTAACTTTAAAAGTAACACTTGACTAAATTTTTTTCGATGAAAGCTTAGTTTGATGATACTATTTTATAGTTATAGTTGAAGGTTTTTTTGGTCTTTTAATGTCATAAAAATATATAAAATATATTTAATATATTTAATATTTATTTTAATTAATATTTTATATTTTTTTAATATAATAAAAAAAACATAAAAATTAAAAACTAAAGCACTAAAAAATAATATCAAATGAAGCCAAAGTAGTTTGTAGATTTTAAGTGGAGTAGCAAGTAGGTAGAGTGAGTGAACAAATAAAAAAAAAAAAAAAGATTGTCATCATTTTGTATCTAAATATAGTTAAAACTACAAAATTAATTTCTTCAAAGTTAAGTAAATTTTATTAGGGCTAATCATGGTTATTTTATATATAGGCCTGAAAAAATAAAGTGAATCCGTCCTTCATTTACAAAGAATAGTCTACAACTTCAAGTCCTTTAAATAAAATGTCAAATTGCTGATGTGGTATATTACACTGAAAAAAATTCTCCATAAACCACATGTTAAAATATTAATTGGTCCCTCAACTTTTAAATTTATATCAAAACTATTCCTCAACTTTAAAAAATAGGTTAAAACCCCATTTTGATCCCTGAACTATTATATGAATCCCCGATTTGGTCCCTAAATTTAAAAAATCCTTAATTTGATCCTTACTATTTATCATTTTAACCCTGATTTGATCTTTCCATTAAATATCTACCTATGTGTCCTGTTACCTGACGAGAAAAAATAACATGTAAAAGCATTTTGACACCTAAGATGTATAGCATGACAAAAAAATGACATGGCAAGAAAAGACCTTAACAAATTTCTTTTTCCTTTTTTTTTTTCCTTCTTTGGTTTTCTTTTTTCCCTTTCTTCTTCCTCTCCCTTTCCTTTCACCTTCTACAAACCCTAACATCTCCTAATATTAGATTCGAGGATAACACAACAAATCAATAGATTGAACTCAATAAATCCTTCAATCCAACTACAACTGGGTTGGAAAGAGAACCCAGTACATGCAAGAATTTGAGGATAACACAACAAACAACAAATCCATAAATAGATCGAACTCAACAGATCCATCGACGCAACGACTGTTGAGTTTGAAACAGAACCGAACAGACAATAGATCAATAAACAAATTGAACTCAACAGATCCATCGGCCCAACGGTTGCTAGGTTCGAAATGGAACCCAGTGCTTGCTAGGTTCGAAATCGAACCCAACAACGATGCTGGTTTTGATTGCTTGCTGGGTTCAAAATCGAACCCAGCACCTACAAGAACCCAACAGCTGCCTTCCTTCTTCATCTTCATCCACCTGCAAGAACCTAGCGGTTGTCTTGCCTTCTTCATCTTCATCAATCAATTTCTCATCATCATCGAACAACAAATCCCAAACAAAGAAAACATAATTTTTTTTATTTTTATTTTTTGCCCCGGGTTCAATGGAACCCAGGGCTAGGTCCCAAGGAACCCAGGACCAGGGTTCGATGGAACCCAGGGCTGGGTCCCAAGGAACCTAAAGCCTGGGTTTCATCGTACCCAGGCATGCTGGGTTCCACTGAACCCGGCGCTTGGATTCCAAGAAACTTGCGCCTGGGTTTGATGGAACC